GGAACTCAAACGTTTTTTGTTATTCTATATTTATTTCTAGTCTGCAGTTGCAAGATTTTTCAAAGAAAAGAAATGGGGAAAATAGTTATAGAGATAAAGAACCATTGAACAGACTGTCAAACTATAGTGGGAAGGCAAGGGAGGTTGGGGGGGGGGTGCTGTAAGAGATCAACCAAAGGATTTGTATGCATGCATATAAATATAACCAATGGATACAAGACACGGGGGGAGGAAGGGGAGGGGGAGAGAGTAGGTGAAGGCATATCCTGGGGGAGAGGAGGCTGGGAAGAGGTCAAGGGGGGAAAAGAGACATATGTACTACTATTTGTAATCCTTCAAACAATTAAAAAATTTTTTTTAATAAATTAAATTAAATTAAAAAAAGAAATGAATGAAAAAAATCAACAACTTATATAAGAATCAAGAAGAAATGAAGACTGATATAGCTGCAATAAAAACACCATGGAAAGTTTTAACAGTGGACTAGGAGAAGCAGAGGACCGAATTAGCAAATTAGATGACAGGGAACCAAAACACAGCCAAACTGAATTGCAATTGGGAAAAATAAAAATAAAAAATAAAAAATAAAAAACAAAAAAAAACAGGAGGAGAGCCTAAGGGAGCTGTGGGACAACATGAAACAAAGTAGCATACAAATAATAGGGCTCCCAGAACAACAAGAAAAGGAACAAGGGTTAGAAGACCTATTTGAAGAAATAATGTCAAAAAACTTCCCTGATTTGGGGAAGAAAAAAGTCACACAAGCACAGAGAGTCCCAAACAGGATGAATCCGAAAAGACCCACATCAAGACACATCATAATTGGGTGTGAATGACAAATATTCAGGACAAAGAGAGAATCTCAAAGACTGTAAAAGAGAGACAGAAAGTTACACACAAGGGAGCTCCCATTAGATTATCAAATGATTTCTCAACAGAAACACATCAGGCCAGAAAATAATGGAAGGACATTTACAAAGTAATGCAAAGCAAGGGACTGAATCCAAGAATACTCTATATATCAAGACTATCATTCAAAATTGAAGAGGAAATAAGGAGCTTCACAGACAAAAAAAAAAAAAGGCTAAGGGAGTTTATCACTAATAAGCCAGCAATGCTAAAGGGAATGGTGTAAAAAGAAGAAATAGAAAGGGAAGAAGGAAAATAGACACACACAGAAAAATTGCAACAAACAAGTACCTTTCAATAATAACTTTAAACGTAAATGCACTAAATACTCCAATCAAAAGACATCGAGTTGCTGAATGGATAAAAAAAAGATGACCCATATATATGCTGTCTACAAAAGACCACCTCAGAAAAAGGGACTCACACAGACTGAAAGAGAAGTGATGGAAACACATCTTTCAGGCAAATGGAAATGAAAAAAAACTGGGGTAGCAGTACTTGTATCTGACAAAATAGACCTCAAAGTAAAGGCCTTAAGAAGAGAAAAGGGAAGGCCACTTCATAATGAAGGGATCGATACAACAAGAGGATATAACCCTGGTAAACATATATGCACCCAATGCAAGAGCACCCAAATACAAAAAAAATAAATAAATAAATAAATAAATAATAAAAAAAAACCTCCTGGAAGATATCAAGGGAGAGATCGACAATAATACAATCATAGCAGGGGATTTTAATACATCACTGACATCACTGGATAAATCCTTTAGACAAAAAAAAAAAAAAAAAATCAGCAAAGAAACAGCAATTCTAAATAACTCACTAAATCAGATGGACCTAACTGACATCTTCAGAGCATTTCACCCCAAAGCAATGGAATATACGTTCTTCTCAAGTTAACATGGAACATATTTGAAAATAGTCCACATATTGGGTCACAAACAAAGTCTCCCCAAATTAAAAAAGACTGACATCATATCAAGCATTTTCTCAGACTACAGTGGTATATTAGAAATAAACTACAATAAAAACAACCCCAAAAATTCAAACACTTGGAAGCTGAATATCGTACTATTAAACAATGATTTGGGTTACCAAAGATAACAAAGAAGAAATTAAAAACATCCTGGAGACTAATGACAATAAAAACACAACAATGCAAATGCTATGGGACACAGTGAAAGCAGTCCTAAGAGTGAAGTTTATAGCTCTATAGGCCTACCTCAAAAAACAAGAAAAAATGGTAATAAATCATCTAACTCTACAACTCAAAGAATTAGAAAGAGACCAACAAGAAAAGCCCACAATGAGCAGAAGGAAGGAAATAATAAAGATCAGAGCAAAAACGAATGACATAGAGACCAAAAAACCCCACAAAAGATCAATGAAACCAAGAGCTGATTCTTTGAAAGGATGAACAAGATTGAGGAACCTTTCACCACGCTTACCAAGAAACAAAGAGAAAGAATGCAAATAAGCAAAATCAGAAATGAAAGAGGCGAAATAAAACAGACCCCAGAGAAATACAAAGGATTGTTAAAAAATACTATGGGGAGAAATCAAAATGGCAGCATAGGTAAGCACCTAAACTGCTGCTTCACAGAACAATTTCAAAACTACAACTAAAAGACAAAATGGACATCATTCTGAACCACAGGAAAGCTGGCTGAGTGGAAATTCTACAACTAGAAGGAAAGAGAAAAGCTCACGGAAAATCAGAGGAGCTGCAAAGGGCTGAGGTACAGAGACACACATGTAGAGAAGAAGGGCGGCTGAGTGCCTAACTGGCTTTCTCTGTTGGGAGGAGGGAGGGAAGGAACCCCCCGACTGCATTGAACCCCAGTTCCAACTGCACTGATCCCCAGTTCTGGGCAAAACTCCGTGGACCCAGGCTCATATGGGAGGAGTCCGGAACGTCAGGTAGAGAGAAAGGCACACGGATACTGGGGAGATTCGGCGGAGCTGCGGTGGGCAGGGGTCTGGAAGCCCACATGCATGAGTGCGCGCAGAGAAGACTGACTGCAGAGGTTGCCGCAGGCTTTCCCTAGAAGAAGGGAGTCAGAAGCTCCTGACGGCACTGAAGCCCAGTTCTGACTGCACTGAACCCCATATCTGGGCAAGCCCCTGGGTATCCATGCTCTTAAGGGGGGAATCTGGACTGACAGGGGGAAACTCAGAAGAGCCAAGGAAGGCAGAGGTCTGGAGGCCTGTGTGCAAGGGTGGGGCTGATGGGAAGCCAAGGCTGTCTGCTCAGTCCTGAGACTCTGCCCCATCCAAGCTGAGCACAGAGACTTTTGCAATTTTGCAACACAGGTCCTATAAAGCTGTCTCCAGCACAGAAGGTCTCCCAGTGTAGACACAGCTGATACTCACATACGACTGGAGGTCAATTCCTCCTAGTAATACCAACAATAATCAAGACTTAACTACAAGGCTGTACACACTGTCCACAAAGGGGTGCACCAAGAGTGTCCACCTCAGGTAAATGGGGAGGCCAACTCACTGGGCCATACAAGAAACCTAGCACACAAAGCTACCCTACCACTCAGGGAAACATCACAAACAAAAGAAATGGAGGAAAACAAACGACTGGATATAGAATTCAAAACCAGTTATAAGGTTGTGCAAGAATTTCCTAGAAAAGGCCGATAAATTTAGCTAGAGCCTCAAATATATAAAAAAAGGACCAACTAGAAATTAAACATACACTGACTGTAATAAAAAATATACAAATACCCAACAGCAGACTAGAGGAACACAAGAATCAAGTCAAAGATTTGAAATATAAAGAAGCAAAAAACACTCAGCCAGGAAAGCAAAAAGAAAACAGAATTTAAAAAGTTGAAGATAGTGTAAGAAGCCTCTAGAACAACTTTAAGCGTACCAACATCAGAATTATGGGGGTATCAGAAGAAGAGAGAGAGCAAGATACTGAAAACCTATTTGAAGAAATAGTGACTGAAAACTTCCCCCACCTGGTGAAAGAAATAAAATTACAGGTCCAGGAAGTGCACAGAATCCCAAACAAAAGGATTCCAAAGAGGACCACACCAAGACACATCATAATTAAAATGCTAAGAGCAAAAGACAAAGAGAGAATATTAAAAGCAGCAAGAGGAAAACAGTTAGTAACCTACAATGGAGCACCCATATGATTGTCAGCTGATTTCTCAACAGAACTATACAGGCCAGAAGGGAGTGGCAAGACATTCAAAGTGATGAATAGCAAGAACCTACAACCAAGATTACCCAGCAAAGCTATCATTCAGAATGGAAGGTCAAATAAAGAGCTTCACAGATAAAAAAAAAAAAGCTAAAGGAGTTCATCACCACCAAACCAGTATTATATGAAATGCTGAAAGGTATTCTTTTAGAAAAGGAAGAAGAAAGAGGTAAAGATAAAAATTATGAACAACAAATACATATCTATCAAGTGAATCTAAATATCAAGTGAATAAAATATCTGATGAACAGAATAAACTGATGACTATAATAGAATCAGGGGCATAGAAAGGGAACAGACTGACAAATCTCAGGTGGAAAGGGGTGTGGGGGGTGCGGGAAGAGACTGGACAAAAATCGTTCACCTATGGATGAGGACAGTGGGGAGGTAAAGGCAGAGGGTGGGGTGGGAACCAGGTGGAGAGGAGCTATGGGGGGTAAAAAGAGGAACAATTGTAATAATCTGAATAAGGATTTATTTTTTAAAAAGAAATACACATGTGTTTATGTAACATACAGCATATGAACATACACACACACACACACACACACACACACACACACACAATATATTCTGCCCAAATTAGCACATACCCGCAAGCTTAGAATCAACTCTCCTAAATCTGATGCAAATCATAGGTACTGAGCCTTATGGCTACTTCCTGCAAACATGCATTCATTACCTCTGTGACAAAGTCAACTGCTAGCTACAAGGATCGGTAAATACCACTATGGGCAGCTAGAATTCCGCTTTTTTTGTTAATGTAAATGAAAAACTTATTACCTCAGGAAATTCACCATGTTGTATGATTTCTGCATAATACTCAAAAATATCCTAGACAATTAAAAAAATTGGACAACAGAGGTTTGCTTCACAGTGGTTTAATATGAACAGAGTTGAATATGACATTGACAGAAGAATGAACAGTTTGCTGAATAAAAGCCCCGAGTCAGGATATATACACAGCAGAAATGGGGCCTCAGGCTCTCAGCACTTGTGCACGATGAAAGAAGGAATCTTTTTTTAAAATCAATAACAGAGGATATAAATCAAAAGGCAGCAACAACACCAATAATGGAGAGGTGGGAAAGGGAGCAGAGCCTCTCGGTAGGGGCTGCACAGCCCTGGTATAGGCTCAGCAGCTTAGAGCTGATCTATCACAGGGAACTTCTACATTTAGATGGACTCCAAATCCCATGTCAAAATCCAATCCTAATCTCTCTGATTATAATCTTGTCAGATTCTGTAATCCTTTTCCCAAGACTGTTCGGAGAACTCCAATCCTTCCATGATAGGGAGTCTAAGCAAAGAGCCTCCACTTTTGACCTGACACCAGAGTTAACTTGCTCCCATCCTACCCTTTGGGATAGACACAAGCCTCAGAAAACAAACTACTACCTCCTGGATAGAAGACCAGGAAAGTTGCCAGTCTCAAAAAGGTGTGTCGGAATCTCAGATTTGGGAAATTCATACCCAACTGCTATCCCTAGCTCAACTTCTGGGAAGAACTTTGGAGTTCTACGGAAAAGTGAGTGCAGGCAGTTCAATAACCCTGTGACCAAGCTGTGGAGGGCAGCAACAACTCGTTCCCTGAGCCTCATTCAACAGCTCAAAGTGCTTAGGAGAAGTCAGAGAATGAGTGATTTGTTCATGTGCTTCTGCCCTCTGGCAGCACTAAATGAGATGGGGATGGAGGAGGGAATGGAAGGAAGAGAGTGGTGATGCTCTTCCTTACCACCAGAAAATACCTAGAAAATGATCCACTCCTACCTTCAGGGAGTTACCTGATAGTGGTGAGTTGCCCCCACCTCTCAAGCCACCAAAACTGCAAAGCTTAACCCATAAAGTAGCGGGGCGTGGGAAGGGGGACTGCTGGCCCATAATGACTCGCCTGCCAATTGGCAAGAACAGGTAGCCAGAGTGGGGAACCACAAAAGAGAGGGGCTAACCAACAGGGACTCCCCTACTGCTCTATGGCTTTCTTCTAACTCTGAAGCAGCCATGACAATGAGCCCAGAAAATCCACATACCTTGCTCCACACAACTGCTTAAATTCTAGGAGGATTACTGCCATGAAAAGCAACAAGGGGGAGAGAAAGTAACAAAAGAAACTGGGGGGGGGGGAGACTGGGAGCAGGCCTGAAGAAAAAAAGGACAGCTTTTGGATCTCTACCACCTTCGCAAAAAACAAAAAATTCATGCATGTAGGAAAAGCAGGGTTTTCCCGCTCATCATTTCTGGTTAAGCCTAAGAGTAAGAAAAATCCCCTGGGCTTGCAGCATCAGTATGTAGCCTAATGCCTCTCCAGCACAAGACCCCTGCCCCCGAGATTAGCCTTCTGGCGTGGGTAAATGCCCAAGAAATTGCCTTCCAGTCCAATCCTCCCACCCACCCCCAACCCCAAGCAAAGGGCATCTGCCTGTGGTTTCCCACCTCTCCTCAGAGAAGAGGTTCTAGCAGAGTGCCCGTGGTGTAGCGAGGGACCAAGGAACACAATGCCAGACAGTCTATCAGGCCAGGGGATGGGCAGCCAACTTCAGATCAAAGAAAGACAGAGAGGCTTAGTGTAAAAACCAATGTCATTTCAGCAGGAAAGTAGAGGGCAAGTGGTGAAAGGGGCTCCTACTGGCGCACCTTCCCAGGGACGTAATTCCTGTCAATTGCCTCCTCCTGCAGGAACATATGTAGGCAGCGTTCGTTCTGAGCCAGTGGGTGCCCCGCAATTCTATAAAGAGATCAAGATGGTTATCAGTAGTATTTGAGATGGGTGTGGACAGGGGAGGAAAGACAAGGTCAGCACTGAGGTTCAAGCAAGCAGCAGACAGCAACAGGACAGCACTTCAACTCTAGTGCTGTAGAGAGGAAGAGAGATAGAAGGGTAAGGTAGGGGAAAATCCCTACACACATTAACATGCAGTGTTTTCTCAGACCATGAGGTACAGGATCAGAATTCTGCTCAAATGAATGGAGTTTTACTGTCACCCCCCCACACAATAAGCACTACATCGTATTACCCATTACAAAAGAAGAGATACACTAAACACACAGAAAGACCAAGATGGAAAAAGTAGCTAGAGGATCCCCCAGGAACTTGGCTTACTTGTTAATAAATTGTTCGAGGCCCTGCCTCCTTTCTTCAATGAAGGATTCCTCAAAGATCCCTTCATCTCCTCGAAAAGGGAGCTGCCGCTTTAAGGCTTTCCCAGGCAGTGGTGGTACTACAATCTGCAGGCAGACGCAAGATATCAGCCACATGGGAGAACTCAGAGAGGGAATGGGATGGCAATGCACTCTATACCACATTTCCTAAGGCAGAGGGTCCATCCTATCCCACAGCCAGCAACTTGCCAGAACTGATCATAAGAACAGTCGGATGGCTCATGTCAAAAATTAATCCATCCCCAGCTGGTTTGGTTCAGTGCATAGAAAGTCAGCCTGCAGACTGAAGGGTCCTGGGTTCAATTATGGTCAAGGGCACATACTTAGGCTATCGGCTCAATCCCCGGCCCTCATCAGGGCATGTGCAAGAGGCAACCAATCAATATGTCTCTCACATTGATGTTTCTCTCTCTTTGTCTCTCTCCCTCCCTTCTACTCTCTGTAAAAAAATAAAAAAAATCAATGGAAAAATATCCTTGGGTAAGGATTAACAAATAAACAAAAAATTAAACTGTTTGTGTGGGAGGACAAGTTTATCATCTCAAAAGAAAAGAAATAAACTCCAAATACTCCTCACTTTCTTTAACAATCCACTGTCATCCAAGAATCTAGCTAGGCCATTCCTGCCAATATACTTTCAATTTTTTGCATCTACAGGAGTTAATTTGTATGACTTTACTAGCCACTAAGTGAAGTAATACTTTCTTTTTAAGATTTGTCCTGAAATTACCACTTTCAAGTTTCACAGATTATCACCCAGATCCAAATTATTGGGACTTGGTAGCTAGAGTGTGTTCACCCTCTCCGTTGCCTTCAAGATTTTATAGACTCTGATCTTAATCCCTTATCAGCCTAAGAGATATTGTCCTCCAAGGGTGCCACACAGGGAATGGGGCCATACCTTACTATCTCGTTCCAGCTCATTTTTTAGCCATTCAAAGTCACTGTAGCGCCGCCGTACACAGGACTCCTTCAGCTTGAAGATAGGTAGGTTTGTCTACAGGGAAGGAAGAATGAAACAAGAGAGATGGTTAGTAATGTACAGCTTGTGGTGGCCACATGTCAGAGCCACATGTACCGGTCCTAATGAAGAAGTAACTCCTATGGACCATGCTCCTATAACCCTTTCCAAACAGCACCAAATGAATATCAATCCTTACCACATCCAGGCTTGTCACAGTTGGTGATTAAAAGTCCCTTGCTGCTTAGAATTTTTCCAAGAGACTTGAAGTTATATGTAAACTAGAGGCCTGATGCACAAAATTCTTGCAACAATAGGCCTCCCTTCCCCTCGCTGCCCACACCGGCTTCCCCCTGGCACCTGGGACCCAGGCTTCCCTCTAGCCACTGGCAGGCACTCAGGACACAGGCTTTCATCACAGCCCCGGCTTCATCCGGAAGGACATCTGGTCTAATTATCATATTACACTTTTATTATTATAGACTAGAGGCCCAGTGCATGAAATTCATGCACTGGAGGGTAGAAGGGGATCTCCTCAGCCCAGCCTGTGCCCTCTTGGGAGAGGCTCCTGCCAACGCCGCTGTGCTCACCAGCTGTGAGCCCGGCTTCTGGCTGAGCGGCACTCCCCCTGTGGGAATGCACTGACCACCAGGGGCAGCTCCTGCATTGAACATCTGCCCCCTGGTGGTCAGTTCACATCACAGTGAACGGTCATTCCAGTTGTTCCCCCGTAATAGTCACTCAGGCTTTTATTATATAGACTAGAGGCCTGGTGCACAAAATTTGTGCACAGGAGAGGAGGATTGGCCCTCAGCCCATTCTGTACCCTCTTCAATCTGGGACCCCTCAGGGGATTTCCAACTGCCGATTTAGGCCCAATCCCTACCGGCCTAAACCGGCAGTTAAACATCCCTCTCACAATCTGGGACTGCTGGCTCCTAACTGCTTATCTGTCTGCCTGCCTACCTGATCATTCCCTAACTGCTCCCCTGCCAGCCTGATCATTCCCAACTGCCCTCCCCTGCTGGCCCGATTGCCCCCAACTGCCCACCCCTGCTGGCCTGGTTGCTCCCAACTGCCCTCCTCTGCTGGTCTGGTCGCCCCCAACTGCCTTCCCCTGCAAGCCTTGTCATCCCCAACTGCTCTCCCTGACAGCCTGGTCCCTGCCAACTGCCCCCCCCTTCCGGCCTGGTCACCCTTAACTGCCCTCCCCTGCAGGCTGGTCGCACCCAACTGCCCTCCCCTGCCAGCCTTATCACCCACAACTGCCCTCCCCTGCTGGCCATCTTGTGGTGGCCATCTTGTGACATGAGGGTAGCCATATTCTGGCAGCCATCTTGTGATGACATGAGGACATCATGTAATGATTAAATAAATAAGGTATGCCTATACAGTGGAATACTATACAACAATGAAAAGAATGTGAAAGCCCTCGCCACTTTGACTCAAGAATTACAGCATCAGCCTTCAGATGGAATGAAGGGTTACAGGTTCCATTCCAGTCAAGGGCATGTACCTTGGTTGTAGGCTTGATTCCCAGCCTCTTGGGGTGTGTACGGGAGGCAACCAGTTGATGTGTCTATCTCACATCGATGTTTCTCTTTGTGTGTCTCTCCCCCTTCCTTCCATTCTCTCTAAAAAAAAATCAATGGGGAAAAAAATCTTTGGATGAGCATTAACAACAATTAAAAAAGTGTGAAATATTGTGCCAGTATGGAGAGATATTAAACATTAAAATCAAGGTACAGCCCAGCCGGCGTGGCTCCATGGTGGAACATCAATCTATGAACCAGGAGGTCATGGTTTAATTCCTGGTCAGGGCATATGCCCAGTTTGCAGGCTCAGTCCCCAGTGGCGGGCATGTAGGAGGCAGCTGATCAATGATTCTCATCATTGATGTTTCTATCCCTCTCTTCCTTCCTCTCTGAAATCAAGAAAAATATATTTTTAAAAAATCAAGGTACAGAACAGTATATATAACTTACCTCTATTTGTGTTTTAAAAGGGATTTGTATAAAAATTAATTCAAAATGGATCAAAGACCCAAATAGAAGATCTGAAACAATAAATTACATAAAAGAAAAAATAGAAACTAAACTCTTAGAGAAAATTTTACAAATTTGACCCCAAAGGCAAGATATCAAACTATATCAAACTAAAAAGCTTCTGCACAGCAATGCCGAAACCAGTTTGGCTCAGCGGTAGAGCATCGGTCTGCAGACTGAAGGGTCCCAGGTTCGATTCCGGTCAAGGGCATGTACATTGGTTGCGAGCACATCCCCGGTAGGGTTGTGCAGGAGGCAGCTAGTCGATGTTTCTCTCTCATTGACATTTCTAGCTCTCCCTTCCTCTCTGTAAAAAATCAATAAAATATATATTTTTTAAAAAATGACACAGTTATTTAAAAAAAAAAAAAAAGCTTCTGCACAGCAAAAGAAACCACCAACAAAACAAAAAAGTAAACCGAATGGGAGATGATATTTGCAAACAACAGAGCTCCAACGAGGGATAAATATCTATACATATAAAGAGGCAATATGCAAATTAGCCTGGGACACTGTAACAGTCATGACCGGTCAGGAAGAGGCTGTGCATGCAGGTGAGGCCTGGAGCGGAGACGGAGACAGAGACAGAGACAGGGGGCCTGCCTGAGCTGCCGCACCGGCTCGGGCAGCCCCGGAGTGGACATAGGCAGGGACATGGGGGCCTGGGGCAGCAGTCAGGCCTGGGTCCACAGCAGCCTGAGAAGCAGAGGACAGACCACTGAGGGTCTTATATACCATAGCAGAGAGCTTAGATTTTATTCAACAGATGGAGGAAAAGTGAAGAATGTCAAGCATGGGAGCATCCAGGTCTTGCTTTCATTTTAAGTGAACCATTCTGGTGGCTGTAGGTAGGATCAATTTAGACAGCTACAGTGTTTTTATGCCCAAGAAAAAGAGAGACTGGTGTCTAGGACTAGGACTAGGACTAGACAGAAGCAGTGGATCAGAGACATATTTATGAACTATTTGGATGATTGCACAGGGATGAAAGCAAACAAAGCAAATGGTATTAGCCCAGGTTTTCCAGTTTGGGCAACTTCGTTGAATGGGTGATTCTGATAGTTGGGAGAGGTATCAAGGAAAAGGAACAGTGTAAGGGAGCTTTCTTAGTTCAGCAATAGCCAAACAATTAGGACAAAAGACAGACTTAATAAACTGATGAACAAAAAGATAGATACAGACAGTAAAGCATCAAACAGACTGTTAAATTACAGCAGGAAGGTTCAGGAGTTGGGGGAGATAAGAGATCAACCGAAGGACTTGTATGCATGCATATAAGCATAACTAATGGACGCAAAACACTGGGGGGTGAAGGCATGTATGGGAGTGGGGTACAAGGGGCAATGGTAATATATGTACACATATAATACCTGTATAAAAAATGGAAAAAAATAAAGATAAATAAAAGTGTTACTGTGCCTTAAAAAAAAAAAAGAAAGAAAAAGGAGACAGACTTAGTGCTCTTTCTTTGCTGCAACATTTATTTTTCTGTCTTCAGCCACCACCATGTAAGGCTAATGTGCCATCTTTTCTAATTTAGTATATTATCTATCTACTACACATTCCTATCACCTAAATTAGCTTTCCTGCAAGATCCCTTAAAAATACTTATTGAAGTCACTCAGTGCTCTGTGAGTATGGGGACTTTCAAGATGTGGAAACATTATGAGCCTATATAGATTAATAAAGAGATTTTAGGTGCTCAATTTTTAACAATCAAAATCAGATACTGGCCAAAACTGGTTTGGTTCAATGGATAAAACGTCAACCTGCGGACTGAAGGGTCCCAGGTTTGATTCCGGTCAAGGGCATGTACCTTGGTTGCGGGCACTTCCCCAGTGGGGGATGTGCAAGAGGCAGCTGATCAATGTTTCTCTCTCATCGACGTTTCTAACTCTCTATCCCTCTCCCTTCCTCTCTGTAAAAAAATCAATAAAATATATTTTAAAAAATCAGATACTGAATGTGGTCATGCCAGAGGCATTTTAATAAGCCAATGTCTCTTTACTGAAGTGTCACACTTCAAAAGAGATCCTTTCAAATAATACAATGCGTAACACTCATCTGGGTTGCTTGTTAAAATGTAGGACCACACCTTAAAAAACACTCCTTCTAGAGCTCATTTTGGTGGATAAATCTCCCTCTAAGAAAACAATCCTATATAATAAAAGTATAATATGCAAATCAACTGAACAGAACAAGCGGTCAGTGGCAGGCAGGGCCAGCGAGCAGGTGTCACCAGGCCAACAAAGGCGCATGCCAGTAGGCAGAGGGAGGGGATGGTGATGGGGTGGAGGAGACGGCAACCAGCGGTAGCAGGATGATGGGGACTGGCACCATCCCAATTGCCCACCTGGTCGCCTCTTGCAAAGGGAGGCGACAGGTGGCAGCAGCAGCGGGGTGATTCGTGGCAGAGCAACCCAGCACCATCCCCAGATAGGCCTGCTAGGATTGCCTCCCACAGAGGGAGGCCACCAGTGGCCATGGTGCAATTGGGGGTAGGGCCAGCCACCTGCTGCTCAGGCCATCCTGATTGGCCCACCAGTCACCTCCCACAGAGGAAGGCCAACCTAAGGCTTGGGCCTGCTCCCCACATGCCTACACCATCAGTAGGACATCCCCTGAGGGCTCCCAGACTGTGAGAGGGGGCAGGCTGGGTTGAGGGACAACCCCCTGCCCCCAGTGCACGAATTTCATGCACCGGGCCTCTAGTCCAAAATATATAAAGAACAACTCAACACCAAACAAACAATCCAATTAAAAAATAATGGGCAGAGGACTTGAACAGACACTTCTTCAAAGAAGACATACAAATGGCTAACAGATTATGAAAAGATGCTCAACTTCACTAGCTACTAGGGAAATGCAAATCAAAATTACAATGAAATAATACCTCTCACCTGTCAACAAAACTAGTAATAACAATGTTGGAGAGGTTGTGAAGAAAAAGGAACTATCATTCACTTCTGGTTGGAATGTAAACTGCTATAA